ATGCGACCGTCGCTTTACCCTTTCTATCTAAGTTTCTTAGGACTGTATATTTGAAGTGTGTTTGTGAATTTGTGTGCTTGAGATACATTCAATAAAACAATATTAATTTTACTCTGAAGTCAATCTAAGTCTGATGACTGGTTAGAAGCGGGACCTCTGTATACACTGGTGCTTGCTCCCTAATTTGCCTATTGCCGATTTATAAATCATAATCCCCCATATTTGTTAAAATATCAAGGCAATTTGGCTAACATTTCCCCCAAAATGCAATAATGAAAACAAAAGAACACAAACTGCTTTCACAAAAATCAAAGAAATATTGACTTTACTGACCAGTTTTTTAAAAAACTGACAAATTACTGACCAAGATGAAAAAACTGACTTTTACTGACTTTACTGACCATTGTCCACCCCTGCAATCACACGACTAGGAGGAGAGCTGCTACTCCCACAGTTCTCTTATTGCTGCCGTGAAGAGAGAATCTCCACTGGTGTTCTCCATTTTTTCCTCACCTTGTTATTGAGGCTAAGGAGACTTTTCTGTCAAAAGCTTTTTTTTTTTTTTGGTCATCAATAGTCATTCTAGTGAGGAATACATGACGTTTAAAGTAGAAAAGGTTCTGGCTTTCTACATTGTCATTATGACTCAAAAGGGGGCTTCTTACAATTGTGCTGACTATGGCTTTAAAATAGGGATGCCAGTCCCCAGTTCAGGGCAGGGGAACCCTCCCCTGTGTCAGGATTATCAGGAACTGGGGGAAATTAACCTCCCCCCCCCAAAAAAAACAAAAAACAGCAGGGGTGAAAATAGGCAAAAACCCCAAAAGAAACATGATGTGCCTACATCACCAGGAAGTAACATTGATGACACTGGGGGGTAATGCTGTGGGTTTTTTTGGCAAACCTCTATGATAAGAAGCTAATTCTACTATAGAGGTTTTACCCACAAACCAGAGCATTGCCCCTGATGTCCCCACATCACTTCTGGGTGATGTAGGCATGTTGCCCCTGAAATCCCCAACATGCCTATGTTGATGTGTTTATTTCTGGCTTCTTCCCTCCCTGCTCCTGTAAGTGCACCCCCATCCCCTGCTTGCTCCTCCAACAGGCCTGCTCTTTCTTTCACCAATTTATGCTAAAGGTATGATTTGATAGAGCTGGATTCAAAGGTGCCCTTTTTCCAAAGGCTTTGGATGCCTGCTAGTCTGAATAAAGGCACTTTCCCCCTCCCTGGCAAGGTGTGGTCTGACAGAGCCTAGGATTCACCAGCTCTTTAAAAAGCTTTGGCTGCAGACTGCCTGACTGAAGGAATCCCTCCCCCTCCTTGGCTGCCATTGGTTCTGAGGTAAAATGCCTGGAGGTGTGGGCTGGTATAGCGTCTGATTTCACAATGTTTTTTTCACAGAGCTCTGGCAATATGCCAGTCTGAATTAAGGCACTCCTACCAGAAGGCCGAGCACCGAAGAATAGATTCTTTTGAACTATGGTGCTGGAGAAGACTCTTGAGAGTCCCTTGGACTGCAAGAAGATCAAATCAGTCAATCCTCAAAGAAATCAACCCTGACTGTTCCCTGGAATGAATGAAACTGAAGCTCAAATACTTTGGCCACCAAATGAGAAGGGCGCACTCACTGGAGAAGACCCTGATGCTGGGAAAGATTGAAGGTCAAAGAAGACGGGGACGGCAAAGGATGAGATGGTTAGACAGTGTCATAGAGGCAATGAACATGAAATTGAGCCAACTTCAGAGGACAGCGGAAGACAGGAAGGCCTGGCGTGATCTGGTCCATGGGGTCGCGAAGAGTCGGACTTGACTGTGCGACTGAACAACAACAACAACAAAAAACCCTTCCCAGCTGCCTCAATTCTGAGATGAGAAATCTGGAGGTGTGACCTCTTTTTGTCTATGCACCTGCCTGACTCAAGGAATCCCTCTGCCTCCTTGGTTGCCCTCCCTTCCAAAGCAAGATCCCTGGAGGTGTGGATTAATGAGCCTTGCAATTCCTGGTGGCTCTTGATGAAAGGCATGAGTCAAACTACTGGGAAATACCTTGTTTCCAAGGATGGAGCTGATTCTCTGTTGATCTCAGCTCCAAGTTCTCTAGCTATACCTAGTTCTGAAGGCTGACAGCTGCAGCCTCTTGATGCTTAATCCTAAGGGGCTTTCAGCACAGGTGTTGTTTCAAGCATGGATTGCTATTGCCATCTCCATGGGGATCCAATTAAGTATATTTTTTAGGAGGGAGGCAAGCCTCAGCAGTTTGCCACTCCTCTCAGTTCCATGGTAGCCTTCAAAACCATCAAAGATGGTTTGGGGCTCCCCAACTGCTTCTCTTTTTCAATAGCAATGATAAACCTGCACCTCTAAGACCAACCTTTTTGTAGGCAGTTTCTTCCCTGTCGGTTTCATGTATGCCCACATAGCCTTCTTTTTACCTGGGAATGGCACTGAGTCTGTTCTCAGTCTTATTGCTACTTCTAGGAGAGAGTTCTTATTTCAATTGGGAGTCATTCCTATGTGACATCATTTATAACAAGATCAAGTGTGGTACAGTGGTTAAGAGTATTGGGCTAGGATCTGGGAGACCCAGATTCAAATGCCATTTTGCCTGGAAAAACTTCCCTGTGACTTTGGGCCCTGTGCATTCTCTCAACCTGATCTGCCTTGCAAAGTTGTTGTGAAGATGGACTGGAGAAGTGTAAAATTTTATAAGCTATTTTGAGTTCCTATTGGGGAGTAGGATGAGGTACAGATAAACTCCACACACCTACCTTTTAAAATGGCATCTTATGTTTCTACTCAAAACAGATGCCCCATGGGATGAAGTCTTTGACATGCAAACTCTCATTAAATTGGCTGCTGTTACAGACTCTACTACAAGTCTTTAGAAACTATGTGCTTGGTTTCACTGGTAATCTCCATTGTTGTTGATGGCCTGCAGGGTAAATGGCATTCTGTCTCTAATTCAGGCACTGTGGAGTGCAAATGCTGTAAACTATTAGCCCAGGTAAGAAGCAGAATTTCTCTGTAGCACTTTCCCTTTAAGTTGCTTATCAACAGATCATTATGGTCTTTTTACTATCTGTTTTAACCCCATCCTGTAAAATGAAGGGTATTGGCCAAACTGAGGCCACTCAACATTTCCAAGGCAGTTTGTCTCTGTGTATAATAAAACAACAGCTTGGTGACACACTGAAGACTAACAAAAACTTTCAAGTGAGCTTTTGTCAGTCTGACTTACTTCTTCGGGTATTTATGTGTCTCACAGCCTATGCCTGTGGAATCTGTGAGAAGTCTGTTCCTTTGATCTGGGTCAGTCGTTTTAGACTGCCCCTAGTCTATGGGGTCATGAAGAGCTGGATTCGACTGTGAGACTGAACAACAACTACAAACAGTCCATGCTAGGAATTAGTGTTGAAATGAAAAGAGAAGAACTGGTTGTTATTGCAGCTCCACAGAGAGGCTATGAATTCTTCAGTCCAGTTGGAGAACACTCTGTGAGGGAGGAACTGGCTTGCTGTCGGATCCTTAACAGCCACTTCTTCTTTCCTTCCCTCAAATAATGTGGTGTCTCAGGGGTGTGTACATGTTTTTTCCACATGCAAGATGTCAGGTTCCATCCCTTGGCATCTCCTACTGAAAAAGTCTCTAGTAATGAACTTGTCAAAAATTCTTACTGAAAAATTCTCTAGTAATGAACTTGTCAAAATTCTTTTAAATTCATTCATCTATCCTCTACAGTGATTTTACTCTACGAGAGAAAGCAAAAATTCTGTGATCTGCTGTTTTGTCCACAACTCACAGGTTTTCCTACAGTTCTTTTCACATCTATGTCACTTTGTGGGCTCAGATCCAAGATCCCCACCTCTCCTCTGAGGGGAGGTCACCTGCCTTCCCATTACTCTCCCAGGACAGAAAAAGGGTGCTAGTTTGAGTGAATCGTAAGTGTTAAGGATGGCACCTAAATAGGCCTATTTATAGGTCCAGGTCATTTAATTCTGAGTATTACAGTCTCCAAACTTTGCTTGGCTGCCTTATTCAAAGACCTCCCTACCCTTCCTATAAAGAGTCCCTCTGCCACAGGGGTGGAAGCTGCCAGTGGCCAAATGCCAAAATTCCTCTTCATTTGGGATTATGCCTTGGCTGTTTTATGAAATGCAGGGCAATCAGGCTAGCCCTTATGGGGCTGCTATATTGTTTTCCCTGCTCTGTCGATGGTTAGTTGTGAAATCCTTTCCAGGGCAACCCTTTTCCTCCTATTGACTTGGAGGGTTTCCCTTTACCTTTTTCAGTCTACTACTCTATATTTTGGAACATGTATTCCTTGTCTGTTTTGTCAAACACTGGTTATACAGAATTTTTAAACTATAAACAAAACAATTGACACTAAAATACCAGTACTGTGCAAAGCACTACTTATGAAAATATTTATATCCCAATTTTCCTGCCATTTAAGGATGCTCAAAGTGGCTTCCAAAAACATACGCCAAATAAATACTGCAGAGCACACTTTAAACAAATCAAACAATGTTTTAAAAAGCAAAAAGCTGCTGCCCTGCATCTATCATATGAGAAAAGCAGTGTTAGACATCTTCCTGTTTATTCACGTGCCTTTCATCTCTCTAACATCAAGAAGTATAGTGACAAGGTTCTTTATGACACTGGAAAATTTCTTGTGGAGAAGAAATCTACACATCTTACCTGTTTTTATGATGGATGTTGGTTCACCTCCACCTAGGCTTGCTCTGCTTATGGAAGGACTGCTGATGTCTGTCCAGTAAACCATCTTCTCCAAGCAGTCATAGGCAACTCCAATGACAACTTTATCCTGGAAGTTAATTAGAACTCTCAGAACAAATAATACTCCTAGTCCTAGATCTATCTTATGCTTAGGGAGAACAAAAAAAGACAAGTGGGGAAAACATACATTACTATTAAGGGCTGAACAAGGCTATCTGCCGGGAGCAGAAAACAGGGGTTTAATTGGCCCTACTTTCTGCTTCCTGTGAAAAGCTGCAGGGAGCAGAAAGGAGGGTTTAAATGGAAGGGGGCACTTCATCCCGTCTTTCTGGAGGGTTTAAATGGAAGGGGGCACTTCTCCCCCAAGCACCTCCTGGGGGCACTTCATCTTTCTGCTGGCTGTGGCTCGCCGCAGCCAGCAGAAAGGTAGAAGGGAAGTTCCGTCCCAGGAGTCCCCCCCCTTTCTGCTGCCTGTGGCTTGCTGTGGCCAGGAGAAAGGTGGAAGGGATGTCTCTTCCTGGGAGATCCCTCCCACCTTTCTGCTGGCCGCTGTTTTTCGGGCTGTCTTATCCAGTCCTTTTGATATTTAAAGGGACTGCAGAAGACAACCCAAAACTGCTGAGTGCTCCCACTTTCGGGGCTTGGTTTGTGGTTCAGCCATGAGCCGCGAGTTGCATTTTCCCAGTTTGTGTGCATCCCTAGTAGGGAGACTGTTCAGAGTACAGGAAATGAACAAGACTGATCATAAAATTTACATGAGGGAAATACCATTAAGGAAAGGAAGATAAAGAGGGGCTTAGTAGAGAATGCTTAAGTATAATATAAATGTTTATAACCTCGTGTGAGCAACTTTAAACTAGAACTGTTTAATGCACTGAGAGTTTTATAAGAGATTTTGACAAGCTAAGGAAGATAATAAAAATGAGCAAATATTTGTTTATAATAGGTCTAAGAGGCTATCCTGGAAGCAAGAAAGGGTTTTAAAGTGTTATTCAATGTAAACATCTTTTTCTCTGAAGCCCCTTTTACTGTAAGTAAAGATCTTCCAATATTTCAAATCCTCATTGCTTTCCTTAGTAACAGTAACCCCAAATTTAAAAACCAATAAAAAGATTTCAAGGCCAACAAATTTAGAGTAAACAAGCTCTTGAAATACGATTATTTGCAGTGTATTTCTTTCATTGAAACAGTTCCATGCTCATTAATGCAAATCCAGCATATATGTTCACTGTATACTTACTGGCACATACAGCAAAGCTTTTGCATCTGATTTCTTCATAGTGTTCCCCTCTAGAGGGACATGGTCAATCTTTCCACTCTGTGCAATTAGCAAGTGTGTTCCTGGAGGCAGAGGAATTGCATCTGGTTTTACAGAGGGTCCAACTGCAACTGGAGGCGCAACTGTGCTCAGACCTTGTTGACAAATGACAGAAAACACATGAACCCAGATTGCGCAAACACAATATTGCAAACTGCATCCGCAAAGTCAGATTACTCTAAAATACACTGGAAACAATTCAACTATAGTAAAAAGAAAAGTCCCACTGGTTTCAGTCAAAGAGATAGTACAACACTAAACAGAGTTTTACAACCTTTTAAAGTCCATTGAAGCCAATGGGCATAGAAGACTGTAGTTTTGTAAGTCTTGCAGTGAAATCAGATTTTAAAATGTATGAATTTGGATGGCAGTAGGAGAAATGTTTGCAGTGTTCCTTTACTGAATAGATAAAGCCATTGAAAGAACAATGGTTAGATACGCTACCAGATACCTATGCTAAATACCTTCTAATACTGAGCTTTGTGGCATAGGCCAATCAGCAGGGCAGGGATACAGAGCTACTTGCAGATGGGCAGGGCTTTCTCCATATTCAGAGGCAGTTTGGGTAAGAATTAGGGGGGAGTGTTTCTGCACAAGGCTATAGCAGCTACTATTCAGCTTGGTCAGTACTTTGAACACAGGTTAATAAAATGAGTAACATATCAGCATAAATTCAGTGTGGGGCCCTCACCTCAGGGGATCAGGACATCATATCGGAGCTACATGATGGGAAGCAACCAACACGGTTTTGTTACTTAAAGCCCAGGATTCCAGTCCACCCACCCAGCCCCTTTTTGGTTCTAATTAGGAGCCTGCCACAGGATTGACAGCAGCCTCCCTTCTCTTTCCTCCTCCACTATTAAGCTGACCTTTCTTTCCTTTGCTCTTCCTTCTCCTCCTGAACTAGCATCCCCTGGGCCTTGACCATTCTCAGCCCCCTTCTGTCTCTGCTCCTTTACAGTACCTGCTCCACCCCCCTTTTAAGCCTAACTCTACCGGTTCCTTATCAGCATCACTCTCGTTCACCAGCTCATCTCCTCCCACAGGACATCCTAGCTGAGGCTGTTGGGGCCAGAAAGCCACTCTGTGAGGATGCAGCCCCACATGGAGCCCTGTGGATGCCATAGAGCCAGGAGATGAATTCCTGGTGGCAGCAAGCTCATCTGTGGCTGCAGCATTGTTGTATTCATCATTGGATCCACAGCCTCAGCCTGGCCCCTCCATGGTGGTCCTCCCAGTGGGGTCATCTTGCCTGCCCCGCTGATTGTCTGAGTGCCAACCTCGACCATGGCAGCCTTCTCCCAAAGCTCTCCTCCAAGCCTGGTAGGTGGGGCTGCTTGGGTACAGCTCTTGTAGCCTGGGCATCAGTTGGGCTGTTCCTGGTGGGATGGCTAGCATTGGCCTGCCACATACATATGAAAACACAGAATTGGGTTGTTTGGGGGGAGTATGTCCGTAAACCAAGTGCCTACTGAATCTAACTAAGAATGACAGTTGCAAAAAGTAACAATTTAGAAGCAACTTACATGGAGGTCGGATTCCTGGGCCAGTTCTGGTGCCATCAATCTCATTACCTTCTCTGTCTACACACCAGCAATATCCACTGTTGGAGTGGCACTGAGTTGGCAAATAATTCCCATAGACATCACACTGAGGAATGAACTGACCAGCTGGCCTGGGTCCTCTTGGACCAAAAGTTAAAACTTGTTCCTGTTCCTGTTGACATTTTGTCTTCTCTAGTTCTGTGAATAAAACAAAAGGGGGGAAAGGTTGTGGATAAGGTACTCCATTTATTTTGTATGCTAGCCCATGTAGTTTTTAACACTTTGTTCTTCTTTTATTCTGCCAGTAATACCTGTCTTTAGGAGGAATCTGTTTTTAAAATTGCTCTCTCATATATGTTATTTCTGGTTTAACAGTTTTTACTTGCTCAATTTTAGTTCTTTAAATCACATGCTGCTATTTTATGCCTTTAATATTGCTGTTGTCTGGTTTTATTTTATGCCATTTAAATAATGATGTTTTTATCATTTTAGTTTATATGTTTGTAAGTCACCTCAAAGATATACTCTCAAAAAGGTATGGATATTTTAAGCAAACACAGCTATGACTTAGACAACAATCTCTAGTTATTCTTCCAGACATGAATAACATATCCTAGTCTATGCAAAAACCTTGGATTGTGTGCTTTTTGCCTCTTCATCTGCCTCCCAGGAGTAGAGAAATGAGGGCCTGGGTGTGTGTGTGTGCGGAATTCCCTACCCCCAAGGATTATTTTTAAATTGGAAAATTCATAGGTACACTGAAAAAGAACTCCTTTGAAATATTTTCTCTTTTAGAATCATTAAAAAGTGTTTTAAAGCAAGGCTTTTACAATGTATAGCATGAAAAAGTCTGAAGATTCTTTCAATTTTTCCAATAGAAACACATGGAAATTTGGGGAAGCACTGACAAAACTCTCTTAGAAATTTTTTCCTCTTTTTTGAATGAAAAAACCCCCTTAACCA